TTTAATTTTTTTGAGCAGTGTATTTCAGTGCCTCTTATCAGTTTGTTTGCTCTTCTCTACACTTTCTCCAGATCCCCAATATGCTTTTTGTGAATTGGTACCCAAAACATAACTGCATATTTCAGATGATTTGTACAGGGGTAAAATATATCTCTCTCTGGAGTCTATACCTCTACTAATACGAGAGGATTTTGCTCGCTTTGGAAACCGCAGCTTGGCATTGCATGCAATTATTAAGCTTCTGATCTACCAGAACCCCAAGATCCTTCTCCACCATTGATTGTCCCAGTTGTACTTCCCCTAGTATGTATGATGCATGCATTTTCTTAGCTCCCAAGTGCATACCTTTACATTTATCAACATTTACCACTTGCCGCCCTGCCACTGCATATATACGTGTGCAGGGCGGCAATGGGGCGCAAAAGCACGTTTTAAAACGGGCTCCGCGCTCCCGACATTTTCGCCGGCAGGGGGCGCGCGCGCGCGCTCCCCCGACCCCGCGGGTGACACCATTTGATCCCGGAGGGATCAATCATTCGATTTCAGCCAGTGATGTCTGGCTGAAATCAGATGATCGGTCCCTGTCCTATCCTGTCCTGTGTTGACATTTACACAGGACAGGATATGATGTCATTCTTCTCTGCCAGGACACATTCTGTTCCAGACAGAGAAGAAGACATACAAACAGTGAGTAAAACCACACATACCCACAGTTAGAACACATTTAACCCCCTGATCGCCCCCCCCCCCCAGTTAACCCCTTCACTGCCCTGTCACCAGTGTCACTGATCAGTGAACCGATTTTTACTGATCACTGTATCAGTGTCGCTGGCGACTTCCAATAGTGTTAGCGCCCCTCCCAGATAGCGCCAGTTTGCCCGCCAGCTAATCCTGTTTACACCCCCCCCAGTTAACCCCTCCCCCTGTCAACCCCTTTTTTACTGATCACTGTATCAGTGTCCCCCCCCCCCCCCAGATAGCGCCAGATGCTAATACACCAGTAATCCCGTCTAACCCCTTGATCTTCACTGCCCTGTCACCAGTGTCATTGATCAGTGAACAGATTTTTATTGATCACTGTATCAGTGTCGCTGGCGAATTCCAATAGTGTTAGCGCCCCTCCCAGATAGCGCCAGTTTGCCCGCTAATGCACGGAATTTTTTTTACCAAAAACATGAAGCAGAATACATTTTGGCTTAAATTTATGACTAACTTTGAGTTTACGATATATTTTTTATAGCTGAAAGTAGAAAATATTGTTTTTTTTTTTCAAAATTTGTGTTTTTTGTTTATAGCGCAAAAAATAAAAAGCGCACAGATGATAAAATACCATCAAAAGAAAGCTCTATTTGTGTGAAAAAAAGGATGTAAATTTTGTTTGGGTACAGCATTGCATGACCGCGCAATTATCATTTGAATTAGTGCAGCGCCAAACAGCAAAAAAAAGGCCTGGTCATTAAGGGGGGAAAATCCTCAGGAGCTCAAGTGGTTAAACCTCATTTGCCACAGTTGCCCAATTAATTATTAATTATTAATATATTAAAAAGTAAGGGTCCTTGCGCTAAACCTTGGGGTACACCACTAACAACCCTAGACCATTCAGATGAATCATTATTATTATTATACAGGATTTATACAGCGCCAACAGTTTGCTCAGAACGTTACAATCTACCGGGAGACAATACAGTTCAACACAAGAGGGTTAGGAGGGCCCTGTTCCTTGGAGCTTACAATCTAAGAGAATCATTACCACTACTCTCTAAATACGGTCTTTTATCCAGTTTTCTATACATTTACAAACTGATTTTTTCAAGCCTGTAGACTTTACCTTACACATTAGCGGTGTGTGGGGAACTGTGTCAAATGTTTTTTTTTTTTAAATTCAAGTATACCATGTCCACAGCCACTCCATTGTTTAACCTCTTCATGCCGGCCGCACACAAATGTGCAGCCTCCTGGCATCTGGGCCTAGACGCCGAGCGGCCACACATTTGTGTTCTATTAAAAAAGGACATATGTGCCGAGAGCGCGTGCCCCCAGCACACGTCCGGTACTCAAGGAAGGGTCCCAATCTCCTCTTTCGATCGGGACCTTTCCCGATCATGTGACCACCGTGAAGTCGCGTCACGCTGGTCACATGACCCTAAACCCTGCCCCGCCTCCCGGAACCCTTAAAGGGCCTGGGAGGCACCGGCGTAAAGGGGTTAAGGTTTTGCTTACCTCCTCATAAAAAGAAATAAGGTTTGACAACTTCTGTCTGTCATGAATCCATGCTGTCTGTTGCCTAAAAGACTTTTTTCCAGTAAGAAATCTATGTGGTCTTTAATTAAACTCTCCAGTATCTTCCCCATTATAGAAGTTAAACTAACAGGTCTATAGTTACTTGGTAAAGACTTTGTCAAAGGAATATGGACACCATAGTACCACTGGATTGGCACAAGGCCAATGTGGTGTCTATATATAAAAAGGGGTCAAAGTCTATGAACGAAATGTGTCAGAAGTGACGTCATGCCAGTACCAGAAACAACCAGGTGCCCATTTTGAGTGCTGGATATCTGTATACTACGTTCTTACATGTAAGCATATTGGTGATGAATAAAACTGTTTTTATGTGACTTTCTGCTAGTAATTTGAACACTCTCCTCCCAGACTGACAATGCCGCTGTGTGAGGTGCTCCTTCTCGAGCGGGGGCATTCTAATACAGGAGGTGTTACTGGCCAGATCACTAGGTAAAAACAGAGGGGGAAAAAGGATGGTGACTTCCTTGAGTGAGCAATGGTTTGCTTAGTAGCGATAAACAAGAATGCGATCACTTTAACCTGTTTTTTACAAACTGCTTGTATGTGTTTAAGCAATAGCAACTCAACTGGGTCTTTTTGCAAGTTATAGTGGAGAAGCATGTCTATCAAGGAATACACCCTGATCCAGAGGCTGTGCACTCTCAGGCAGGTCCACCAGATGTGGGCCATTGTGCCCTCTTGTCCACACAACCGAAAACAGAGAGTTAAGTGGCCAGATACAAATTTAGAGATATGGGCCGATGTAAGATACCAATGCTAAGTACTTTATTATGAGTTATCAAGTGCAATTACATTTCTTGAGCAGCTGGCTGTGGACTCCCAAATAGCCTTCCAGATAAAATTATGTTTTAAAAGAAATATTGCCAAAGCTTTCTTGAGCTGCACATGCATAGCTCAGTGTACATTTAGAAGAAACATTGCTAGTAGTGGACCTGCATTGTTCCTGAGGATGTTAAGGGCCCATTCACTATATAAATGAAAGATTGCAAAGGAGAGCACCAGCTATAAGGGAAGATAGAAATAAGGCAAGCATTTCTGCCGGTTTCTTACCTCCTAGCAGTGTTGCAACAAGGTCTTTAAGTACTCGATTGAAAAGGTCAAAGTGACCCCCCCCCCCAAATGAACTGCCTCAGTATAAGTTACAGGCCCTGCCCTTTTTCCACCCCAGTTTGCCTTGACAATATTGAGGTACTAACCAACAGAGAAGGCAAATGTCTTGGTACATGAGCAATCTTTCCAGAATGCTGTTAATTTTTAATACTTGTACAAAACATGTTCTACTGTAAGGCTAGGTTCATACTGCTGCGATCTGATTTTTAGTGCAACTTGGATGTGGTTTGCATATTCTAATGGGCTTAAATCACGCTGGAATCACACCAAAGTAGTACAAGAACCTTTTCCAAAATTGTGCTATGCGAGTGGCATTGATGTTAACAGGCACCATTGAACACAATGTGCTTTCCATTTTCATGCAATTATGTGCAACTCAAGTTGCATCAGAAATCATACTAGTGTGAATGGAGCCTAAATTTCATACATAAAACTACAATATTTCAACATCTGGATCTTTTATTTTAGGCATAATAAAAATGTATTGTCTTACAAAGCAGTGTTATCAACAGTCTATTTTTTTTATACAACGATATAGTGTACCTTACCAAAAATCCAAAGTTACACAAAAGTCGAAATACATACAAATCAAATTAGATTATTTGGAAATCAATATAAGGAAAGACCAACTGAACCAAATTAAAGCTACTACCAACTTCTGTATCATAAAACATTTTATTGTTTATTTTGAATTGTTGATAGGAGCATTCAGAAATACACCACCAATCTTAAAAGATTACCATTAAGTAACTGTTGATGTGAGTTTCAGATTTTATGTGCCTGCTTGTTTATATATTTACTATTGTATTAAATGTAAAGATCTGCAATTACAGTGAGCAAACAATCTATAGACAATCACTCTGTTTTTATTCTTAGCACTTGCCAAGATAAAATCTGCATATGAATAGTTTTATTAAGTTGGTCAATGTGCGAAGCTGTAAAGCAAAACTACTGGGTAGACCTGCCAAGCTGGAAGCTGATTCTGCATATTTAATGACAATATGTACATATATGATTAGAATCTGTACACAGAAGCAACATCTTACTAAACATTAATACACACTGATAATTATATTCAGCTGATTTCTTTTACAGCAATATAATTGATAAGACTGTGCATTCGCCTTAAATAAAATAGTTACATTGTGAGTGTTAGCTTCCATACAAGACTGAAACACTAGCCGCATCCCAACTGCAGGCTATTCTTGGGTGGAGGCAGATATCACTCTGTATATTACTAAAAATGTCACTATATCAAATATAATGTATGCAGCATTTGAAGTGTTGAAGGAGTGCAATATAATTAATGTGCACCGACAGCTGCAGTCACAGTGAACATTGAGATTTGTCTGATTCAAAGGCAGCCCACAAGATTATGTTAAACACGGTGCTCTCTGATGGGAACTATTTCACACATAATTAGTGTGGGCTGCTTTGTTAGAAAATTGTAATCATGAAATATTATCCTCTTGCTTCCGCACATTTAAAATTCCACTTATTGGTTTTTAACTCACCAGTATTTACATGTATGAGAAATAAGCCAAATGGCTGAAAAATGGTTGAAAAAATAATAGACAGTTATTTTGTTCTTAGTCCATCCCAATATGTTCCTTGGCAGCTTGAACCAACTCTATGAGAGCTGAACAATTTACATCTTCTGGATGAAGACCAAACTGTTGGACCTATGGAAAGAAAGTAACTGTTACATAAATACAAAGCAAACATACTACAGATTGCTGATGTAAAACACTATGCAGATATACATATGAACTGAGGAAAAATCATAATAAAGCATATACAGTTGTGTTCAAAATAATAGCAGTCAGACATCACTAACCTGATCAATCACTGTTTTTGGTAGAAATGATATTTCTACATGGCAAATAATTTACTAGCAGGTGTAGTAGAGTAATAGAAATCCAACTGACACAACAGTCATGACACGCATGCTGCTGATTCTGTGTAATTGAATCACTAATTGAAAGGGGCATGTTCAAAATAATAGCAGTGTGGAGTTCTATTAGTGAGGTCATTCATTCTTTGAAAAACAGGTGGCAATTATTGCCCTTATTTAAGGAAGGAAGGCAGCAAATGCTGTACATGCTGGTTACAGTGCATTTTTCTCTGAAATTCTGGGGAAAATGGGTCGTTCCAGACATTGTTCAGAAGAACAGCGTACCTTGATTAAAAAGTTGATTGGAGAGGGGAAAACATATAAAGAAGTGCAGAAAATGATAGGCTGCTCAGCTAAAATGATCGCAAATGCTTTAAAATGGCAACCAAAACCTGAAAGACATGGAAGAAAGCGAAAAACTACCATTCGAATGGATAGAAGAATAACCAAAATGGCAAGGACTCAGCCAACAATCAGCTCCAGGAAGATCAAAGAAGGTCTAAAGTTACCTGTGAGTACTGTTACAATTAGAAGACACCTATGTGAAGCCAAGCTATCTGCAAGAAGCCCCTGCAAAGTCCCACTGTTGAAAAAAAAGACGTGCTGAAAAGGTTACAATTTGCCAAAGAGCACATTGAGTGGCCTAAAGAGAAATGGCGCAACATTTTGTAGACTGATGAAAGTAAGATTGTTCTTTTTGGGTCTAGTGGCCGGAGACAGTTTGTCAGATGACCCCCAAACACTGAATTCAAGCCACAGTACACTGTGAAGACAGTGAAGCATGGTTGCGCAAGCATCATGATATGGGGATGTTTCTCATACTACGGTGTTGGGCCTATTTATCGCATACCAGAGATCATGGATCAGTTTGAATACATCAGAATACTTGAAGAGGTCATGCTGCCTTATGCAGAAGAGGAAATGCACTTGAAATGGGTGTTCCAACAAGACAACGACCCAAAACACACCAGTAAATGTGCAACATCTTGGTTCCAGACCAACAAGATTGACGTTATGGAGTGGCCAGCCCAATCCCCGAACCAAGAAATAGAGAAGAACTGTGGAATGTAGTCCAATCATCCTGGGCTGGAATACCTGTTCACAGGTGCCGGAAGTTGGTTGACTCCATGCAACACAGATGTACAGCAGTTCTCAGAAACAGTGCTTATACAACTAAATATTAAGTGATTCAAAGGAAAGCAAAATCTTCAAACATTTTTCAGTTTATATAGTGAATGTTTGAGTTTGTAAAGAAGAACACAAACACTGCTATTTTTTGGAACAGTCTAATATTCACTTTTCTTCAATTTTTTTTAGAGGAACTTGATATATTTTTCTTCATGTTTTGATTTGGAATAAAATGTGTAGTGTTCATGGAAATAAAAGCTATTAGAATGATTTTGAGCTTTATTCACTTTTTTCAACACACTGCTATTATTTTGAACACAACTATATTTATTTTTTATTACTGCAGAGTATGGAGGATGGAGTTTCAGAGAAGCATAGATTAGTCTTTACGGATACCACTGAGCCACAAGAGCATTCACTGATTTGGCCAGATGATCTCTGCACCTGGAGACAAATCTGTTCAGATTTTTATTGAACCTGGAGGTTCACATGCAGAGTTCCCACCTGTAGAATGTGGGGTTTTGGAAACACTTCTACCTCTTTTGCTACTGCCAGACTTCTACTTCCTCCCTAATTGTTGATGTACGCCACTGCCACGACATCGTCCGACTATATCCTGAGCAGATGACCCTCCAACTAGGGTGCTCAGCATTTTAAAGACAGCCAAACTATTCATATTCCCAGAATGTTGATTAGAAGATATGATTTGTGCAGTTGGGTTGTCTATAGAGAATTAGCCAATTTGTCCCACAAGAAAATGTGTTAAAGGGGTTTAGTGTGGAATTAAGCAAACAAAACAGCTTAGAGGGAGGTCGTCATCATCAAGCCCAACACTCTCTTGCAAAAGTAGATGAGGCTAGTAGTAGGGCTGAAGACAGTAAATCCCTCGGAAATGTGCTCCACCCCTGGCACTAGTCTATGTGGTTGTCATCCAGGCAGCAAGCTTCCCTAGACAGTAGCAGTGTCTCCCTCTGTGAGCTTGGCTTTCCAGGTTTCTGCAGCAGCTCCACTATGCACAGCCTGGTGTGACTTTCCGAGGACCATCTCTCCATCCACATCCGAGCAGCTCATCTGTCATGTCATGCTCTGCCTCCTGGGATGTTCGTGAGTGCATATTAATTTTTATTATACAATAAGTACAAGCTGTTTTAACATACTACAGAAGTGCAGAATTGGTCATGTTTTTTCAGTCAGAAATGTTTGAGGAAGAAAAGCTTTTACCTGAACTGTGTCAAGAATGAGATGTCACGTGCGTTCCACCAGTTGTCAGAATCCAAACAAACCTTTTTTTTTGGGTTTTGTTCATAAGGGGCATATTGATGCATACAGCCTTGCAACGGCTGTCTCTGTCCACAGAGGATGCATAGAGGCTCTATGTATCTGCATGCAGTCAGTTCTCGTCATGTCAGTTGAGCCACATAGGCAACACTGGCACAGCTGCTGAACACAATTTGATATCTGGGCAAGTACATATCCCTTAACACAGACAATGTGTGCATTCCAGGACACACCCTCACCTGCAAAGATGTCAAACTGGGACATTGTGTGCCACATGATTTGAATGGGTGTGCCTAAACACAGATGCACAGAACACCTTTCCCATATGGGCAAAACAGCCTTGCATGGGTGAACACACTTGTACACCCCATGTGAAAGAGGCCTTAGGATCTGGATTGCATTGACAGACAGGGCTTGAGCTGACTGCTCTTGTGGGATACCTAGATCCTGTTGTGGGATTTTTCATTACAATGCCCTTAGTAAGGTTAGCATATGGGCTAGACTCTTGGTAAAATAGGCCAAATGGTAGGGCCACAAAAAGATAAAGTTGAGTGTCCACAAGAAAGTGAAGGTAGTGTTGATGTGCTGGAAAAATAGGGACATGCAAATACATGTCTCTGATGCCTGCCGCTGCTAGAAAGTCTCCCTGATGGAGGGCCACGACAGACACAATATTTATTTTTAAAGTGTGACAGAAGTGCAGCTTTACCCATTTTGCAGTGGGGGGGGGGGGGGTTCCAAAAATCTTTCACACCGACTGCTAGCTTTCAGAGAGAAGCAATGCCGGTGTGAGAGCAATTATTCAGTTAACTTATGACGTGAGAGTGCTTTTAAAGCATTGCCTATAGGAATTTTTAGGTACCGAAGGTTGTCAGTTTCACAGGCACAAGCAATTTTAAGGCTTGACATGTATGGTATCTACAGTATTTACTTGGCACAACCACCTCATGTTTTTCATATTTTACCCAAAAAAATGAGTAATATTAGGTTTGTGTACATCAAAATTAACTCTAGCGTATTGTTTACTGAAAATTTACATTTGATACATTTTGCTAATGTCGCATGACATAAAAAAAAAATTGGAACAACCACCCTTTTATTCTCCGGGATCTCAACTTTCATATAATATACAGTACATCTTCCTCTGCTTGAAAAAGGTGCTACTATTTAATTTTACCATGCTCCCCTTTTTTCTAAGATTCAGTGCTGCAATGCCACTTTCACTGCACCAGCTGGCTTGTTCACACATCAGATACTGTGGCTGTGCAGAGACGAGGACAGCTCCCTAAACTCCTCTTTGGCTCTATATGCAGTGCCACATGAAACAGCTGAGGGGAAACCTTCCTCTTACTGTGCACTGCCATTGCATTTGAAGCCTGGTACAGTAAGTGGACTTCAGGGAGGTCTGTACTAGAAGTGGGTGGGGGGACACTCTGTACGTTACACACATGACTTCTACACTCAATGCACAATCCTGACCTTGCCCTTGGTTTATGTACTCCTAAATTCTACACTCTGTGCCTTAAACATTCCTGACCCCTGCACTCTGTACCTTATGAACCCGACCCTTCACTTGTGATCTAATGCATTCCTGAGCTCCATGCTTTATGCACTACTGAGCCCTGTGCTCGGGATGCTGCCCGCCCTCCCTGCAACCTGCTTTATGCACTCCTGACCCTTTGCTCTGTACCTTATGCCTGCCTGACCCGTGGTCTCTGCATCATGCACAAGTGACTCCTGTACTCCATGTATTACCCATTTCTGAACTCTACCCACTTCTGTACCCTGCGCTTCATGCAGTATTTGCTCCTGAGCCCTGTGTATTTCACACTCCTGAGCCCTTTTGCTTTGTCTGTTACGCCCTCCTGACCCCTGCATTGAATATGCTGTGCAATTATGAGCCCTCCGATCTGTGCCTTGTGCAAAATTTATCCTCATTCAGTTGTAGCTCTTATAACTCTGCCAGCCTGTGGGCATGGTATAGCACCAGAGCCTGAGGGACAGAGACACGATGTCACTCCCTCCCCTTCCCATACACATAAAATCTATCTAAAAATCTCCATTTCAATTATATGCAACTATCAAACTTTGTACCTCTACAAGCAGTTCACAAGTTACAAAACAGAAGCCAAATCACATACTGTAAACGGCAGTATATTCACGCTCTCCAGGTCCGATTACAGAGACAGAGACATAGAACAGCAGGGACACAACCCTTTTACACAGCTATACTGGAAGACTCATGCACATCTCCTCTCTACACAGTCTGTCACTGAAATCAGAAGGGGAGGGCCATCCCCATATATATATATTTCCATGCGTTGGCTTTCAAATGCTCAGAACACCAGGAAGGATTGCTACGGACATGGAGTGCGGAATGCT